GCTTACAATCGATAGTAAGCTTCTCAGGCGGACCGATTATGACGCCTGGGTACTTAATGCATTTACACAATATGGTATGGTCAATTTAAATACGTGTAAGCATATGACTTTTCCTTTTTTTTTTAACGTCCGAACAAAAACAGAAGCCGAGATGGGCCCATCCAAAACCCTGACGGAAAGTGGAGCGCGCTATTCTGGCATGGTTGTCTCCATAACGTACCTGATAATTTGGGGCATCTTGATAGCAATTGTATCTTCTTTGATACCGTTTTCCATAGTGCACCTCTTAAAAAGCTTGCATAGTATTTTGGGTTATTTGAATTCCCATCGTATCTTCTGTGGTATATCGGTAGAACATCACCCTGTCATTTGGGATTTACCCAAAGGTGAATGTCTTTGTCATAGACATGACGATAGTTCGTCCTTTCGATTAGCAAGAGATACGGAAGCTAACTATGGGCCAATCCAAGGGCCTAAGAAGCGCATGAAGGGCTAAATATATTGTGGCGAGGGCGTTTTCCGAAGTGCACCACTAAAGAGCCTTGCATAGGAATTTGGGAGTACTTTGATCTCTACCGTATCTTCTCTGGTATATCGGTAGAATATCACCCTGTCATTTGGGAATTCACCCAAAAAAGGGCGGAAGTTTTGAACAAATGGTGCACCATACTCGAATGGCCTCCATCTAGAATGAGGTAAGAGAGGAGGTTCTTCTTCGGAAGGAAAAGATGCTTACAATTGCGACTTTACTTGTAGACTTTAGCGTCGTTTCTGTGGCGGTTATCCAAATGCTCGCAGGTATACCTGACAAATCCAGAGAGAAGGGGAGCCGAATCCAGTGTCAGGAACAATCAAGTAACTGCGAATTTCAGTGGATAATTACCAGGGCCGCTGGCGAGATAAGTGTCCCTCGGTTGCGCTTGCTCGTGACGTGGTAGACCTCGCAACTTTTGCGCTGACCCTCCGTCAGATTCTACTCCCTCTGATCCATTGCCGCCGACCATCCAGAAAAGTAGTCAACTCTTATCAGTTTCAAGGCTGATGCGGGTGATTCAAACCATAATGAATCATGTACTGACCCATAGAACCCCCGGAGTGACACGTCTAGAGTGGAGAATCTGGTTAGCATCTTGGTCCAACATCTTCACTGCGATTGAAGACAACTTACATCAAATATAGCCTAGTGGAAGTCAGGTTAGTCAATGTGGAAGGCGACAATGAGGAGGATAGACTCACCGTAACTGGGACCGACTGGTGAGGCGTGTTGCTGAACCAGGATTGCAATTCCTGCGAAGCGAGTCAGTCTCGAAAGCTTTCGGGTATTCAAAAGATTTCTTACCGATCCAAAAACACGCTCTTTATTTCCCGTAATCATGGCTTGCTCACTCAGTCCGGTTGCATGACCCCCATCTACCAAGGGCCTAGTTAAAGCTCTCAAAGACCCAGGGTAGTCTGACGAGGCTCACAGTAGAAAATGACACGGTCACCAGGAGCGACACTCTGCATAGTGCGCTAAATGGCTTTTTTCTAGAGTGGCGCGGCGTCAGAAGATGATCCCCCGCAAGGCGGAAGACCCTTACAATTGCGGCTTTGCTCGTATCTGTCTTACGAATGTGGATCCGCTGACCATCCGAGTTGTGACGAAGTATGTCAAAGTCGTGGAGCAGATTGAATTGAAGGGGATTCTCTGGTTCGCCATCTGTCTCAAGGCGGGTAAACATCTATGAGCATAGATGAGCGTTATGCAACGTACATTTGAAGTGAACGAAAAGGAGGGGGAAGTCGCGCTTCGGTCCATTGAGAGTCATGCTTGTGCCAGAACTCCAAAACATGCCGGAGTAAGCTAAACAAATCTTCGGGAAATTTTAGGATCAGGTTGAAAATATGAAAGAAAGAGTCAGCGGTTGAGCATCACCAAAGTGATATGGGTAACAGTTTGAGACGAAGACGGGTATCTTGGCTTTCGTCAACGGCCCTGTACTAGGGGTGGAAGTCGCAGGCCTCCCGAAATACCGCTGACTTTCGACTTTAGCGTCGTTTCTGTGGTGTTCACGACCGTGCCTGAATTCAACATCCGTAAAGAAAAGGTGCCAAATTTGGGTCAGTAAATATAGCGTAGAAACCAAGATTGAGGCTAACGTGTGTATCATTGGCGGTGCATACCAAGTCTCGAAACCAATTCATCGGCGGAAGGGCGCCTGTCCACTTTTTTATCCCAACATCGCTCCGCAACATCCCATTCCATGTCATAGGACAAACCATCTGCAGACGCGGATGGGATTCTGGCAGGACGCTCGCCCCGTGTCAGGACAGCAATTATTACAGCCACGTTATCATTATACTGGGAAAAGGGAGGCTCTCCCGATAGAATCTGCGGGTCAGATATTGAGCAGGCAAGCCACAACGCCGCAACCCAGACGAAAAAAGGCGAAATGCCTGACCTCGGCTATCGTGATACCAAAAGCATAAGCATCACTTGCATAAGATTTAGGTTGACCCTCAAGCACTTCGGGGCTCGACCATCGCGCGGTGCCGGTGCCTTTCATGCCAACCGAGGTTGCGGAATTTGCATAACGCGCTAGCCCTAAATCGCAGACTTGGGCAGTGAGGTTAGGGGAAACAAGTACATTGCTGCCTTTGATGTCCCCATGGATAACGTTTCTGAAATGAAGGAAGGCGATGGCTTTGGCGATTTCAAGAATCTTTGAGAAAATTAGTCGAGGTGGGATGGAGCATTCGAAATGAAGGCAGGAACGCACGAATTTCGGTCGGTTGCTAGTGGGGTTTCGCTTCAAATACCCAATGACAGTTCCATGCTCGGCGAAAGGTGAAATCAAGTAAATGTGTTCCCCCAGCGAATCGGCTCCAAGGAATGGCAAAACATGGGGGTGAACCAAATCCCGCCAGGTTTCTCCCTCTCGCCTAAACCTCTAACCAAAGGACCGATCTTCTTGAGTGAAGCGACCAGTCTAACCTGAAATAGAACTCGTATCCTAATACGGTCTGTGTTGTCGTCTTCTGATCTCGTTCGCAGCCGCTTGAGAGCCAGAACGCCGTATGTTGGATGTGTGCCCCGAAATACATCACACAGGACGCAAAGCGACGTTTTCTGGGACGAAAAATCTACTAAAAACCAGCCTCCACCTTCCTAATAAGGCAGGTGAGACGAGGTTTTCGCCTGGATTCCGGCAAAATTCCCTCGTGAGAAAACGTCGCTTTGCGCGCTGTGTCACCGAAATGACCGGAAATGTTGAAGGGCTGGGACTCGATGTCCACTTCACGCAGAGAAACGCGAACGCCACGCCAATGGTAACTCCATGGCTCAGACTGACTGGACGTCGTCATGTTATCTAGAGGGCTCTTTAGATCAACGGAGACGGAAAGTGAAAAGGGCTTGGAGGATGTGAAGAGGTTGGTGAACGTGCGGAGGGAGGGTCGAGGAGGCATGGCTCGCTGTATTATGTAAGTCATGCCGCATTGCAAAGGCGAGGCTCGACATCAATATATCGGGTCGATGGGGTGAAAGGGAGGGAGGCGGACAGATATCAGAAAACCATCCGAAACTGTTAGAGCTGTATGTCGCCACGATACCTACCTGCCAGACACTGTTCGTCTTGCCAAGGGGTCTGAATTTAATCGGGCGGCATGCCTTCCGTGCCCAAAGTTCCCGTTCTCGGCTCGCTCTGCGATACGCCTCTCCAGTTGTCGCAATGATTCGTCAAGACCGATGGGCTTACTGCTGACGTTGGCGAACGGAGCTGGTTTACCTTTCGATTGCCACAGCGGCCAACAGCGTCCAATGGCGCTGCCGAACCAGGGCTCAGACCACGCATTGTCATCGCGAGGGCCGGTTCATGTGCCAACGTTTCATCCTCAAACACCTCCCCGTCATGGTTCAGCTCCTCAGCGTCCGTTTGGGCAGCTTCCCGTTCTGCACGGCCTTACCCCGAACCACGAGGATCGAGTTTCCGCGTAGCCCCTGACCTGCTATCAGGCCCAAATTCGACTTTGATCTCAGTCCATTAGATAACCGGTATTCTGCGGAATCCAGGCGAACTAAACCGTCCCTTGGAACGCCTCGGCATGCACTCCTCCCTTCATGACGCACCAAATCCGCGCCGTCCTTTTCGCCCATCTGCCGCCCTAATAGAAAAGTAAGCCGAAACAAACTAATACGATACTCTGAGGGGGGAGGGGGTTATAGGGCCAGAATGTCTACTGTGAAGCGCGAGGATTGTTGGCCTACTCAAGACATTAAGCACCACATGATCTTCTCTAGTATATCAGTAGAATATTCCCCTGCGCTCCATCTGGGAGTAGAACTGTCAGCAGCAAGCGGCGGTAGTGCCAGTAGCGGCAGCAACAGGAACGGCAGCAGTGGCGGCAACTTGAACGGTCGCGGTGGAGGCTCAAGTAGTCTATGGCGGCAAGGTAACAGGTCGCTCAGGTTTGGTTCGGGAGCTTTGGTGTATATAATATATATGTACGATGCATTGCATGGTGTGTTGCATGCGGTACTTTGCGGTGTAACCAGCGGTCTACATAATCGACCTCGAGGAAGAGGTCGAGTTCGACTTTTGATTGATATTTTCTGTTTTGGCCCAGTCGGGCGGCGATTCTGTGCTGGTACCTCGGTAGAACATCACCCTGTCATGCTGCACCAAGCGGCGCGTAACGGTGAAGAGCAGGGTTCGATTCCCTGGCAGAGGGTCCGCCTTTTGTTCCGGTTCACCTGGGAGTCGTAGCGGCAGCAACAGGAACGGCATCAGCGGCGGCAAAGGTCGCGCAGGAGGCTCAAGTAGTCGAGGGCGGCAAAGGTAACAGGTCGCTCAAGTTTGGTTCGGGAGCTTTGGTGTATATAATATGTATGTTCAATGCATTGCATTCTGTGTTGCATGCGGCACTTTGCGATGTGACCAGCAGTCTATAATCGACAAGAAAAAAAGGTCGAGCTTCCGCTTTGCTTGATATTCCCTGTTTTGGCCAAATTGGCCACCGATTCTTTGCTGGTATATTGGTAGAACATCACCCTGTCATGCCGCACCAAAGCGGCGCGTAACGGTGAAGAGCAGGGTTCGATTCCCTGGCAGAGAGTTTCTTTTTGTTCCGTGCACCTGAGAGTCGGATACCTGTGTGCGCTCGTCCTAGTTTTTGTTATCTTTTCCTTTCCTCTTCTCTTCCCTTTATTATTATTATTTTTTTTTTGGTCTACTTCTCCGGCTCTCCTCCTGGGAGTTCAACCCAAACCGCTCCCAGCCCACCCCACCCAACTTGTGCCCGTGTGCGCCTGCGTGCAACAACGCTTCCAATCACGTCACACCGCCTTGTCTAAAAAAGAAAGAAAAAAAGAAAAAAGAAACTACAAGATTTTGGCGTCAAACTCTCGCGCCTTCTTTTGCTCTCCTCCTCCTGGGAGCTCGACCCAACCGCGTTCAAAAGTCTCCCCGAACCTGACGGGCTCAATCGTCCGGCAGCCTTGCGCGATTGATGGCTGCGCACCCTTTTTCAAACCATTGGGATTTCAATCTGTCACTCGCCGCTCCACACAAAGAGGAAAACTTTTTGAAGAGCGAAAAGAACAAAACCAAACAAAAACCAAACAAAAACAATAACAACGCTCCCCCATCACGCTGCTCCTCCTCCTTCTCTCTCTCTCTCTCTCTCTCTCTCTCTCTCTCTTTTTTTTTTTTACTTCTTCTTCTTCTTCTTCTTCTTCTTCCTTTTTGTGTCCCTCCTCCTAGGAGTTCAACCCGAACGACTCCCCTGCCTGCACCCCCCTTTTGTTGCCTTCGGCAAAGATTTGCCTGGGACCCCACGCCACCCCTTTTTGTCACCACCCCCCTTTGCCTCCCGGCAACAGCTTGCCCACTCACCCACCAACAACCCCCTTTGCCTGCCGGAACAGCTTGCCCACCAACCCACCCCTTGCCTCCCGGCAAAAGCTCGACCACGCGAGTAGTTCAACTCCCAGGAGGAGAGGTTGCGTTTTTGGCTATTTTTATCTATTTTCATTCTTATTTTATTTTTATTTTTAATTTCATTTTGCATCAGCATCCGGGAAAGTGTATCGGAATGCGGCTGGGCGCCTGTCCCTGGCGAGCAGACCATGCCAGACCGGAATCCCATTTCCTAATTTCCCTCTCTTAAACTCTCATAACACAGGCCTGCACTCTCAGGAGGAGAGGCTGCATTTTTAAATTATTCTTATACATTTTTTACGGAATTTTCTGTTTTTTTCTTCTTTGCATTGTATTTACTTTGTTAATATTTTATTCCAACCATCTCTCAGTCTAGGAGGTTCCGAGAACCGTAAATGCCTAGAAAGCAGGCCTTTCACTTGCGCGGCAAGTCTGAAGCCCTAAATCATGCTTTTCTTCAGCCTAAAGAACCGTCAGCCCCCAGGCCAACAGAGTGGGACATGCCTAAAAGTCCCGCCAACGTGCTGACGACCTATCCGATTGTCGGTAGGCACCCTTGAAGAACTGTGGCCGGTCTGGAGCCCTGATTTAAGGCCCGTTTGGTTCACGTGTGCCATGGCAAGGAATTGAAAGGCGCTACTACAGCGTTTTAGCCTCGCTAATGAACACGAATAGAACTAAACAGGGACGTTTCACATCACCCTTTCCAACGGTTGCTACCGCGACGCCATTTTCTACCAGCCCACACCCGCTATATCCCCTTGATTGCGCGCAATTGATAGCGAGAGTGGAATTGCATACGGGGGTGTGGTTTTTCATTACGGTAATCCGAACATGCTTCCCGCGCGCATGCGACGCCACCGTAGTCTCATTGCAGCTTCAATAGGAAAATGCGCGAGCTCCTGCTTTCGTCTGCCATGATAGTAGCTGTAAATAAACTTTCAACAGAACCATCCTTCTGTTAATTTGTTGCAATCCAAAGTTGCTGCCCCTCATCCGCCCTCTGCTCTACTAGATTGGCATACAACATCCCCACCGGCCGGGCGCATGAAAGGGAGATACCTGGATTAAAATCTCACTAACATATAATTGGGTGAACGGAGCGCTTGTTTTCCGTTCTGTCCGCCTGTTTCCGCATCGCGCTCACAATGAAGAATTTCGAAACAGTCCCAACTCC